AAGATATGTGTATGGTGTAAATGATCGTTTAATTTACAATCTATCGTAATAATGTTCAACTTTCTTTTTTTCTTGTTTGGAACTTAAAAATAGAATAATAACTTTTTTTGAAGATATTTCAGCAAGTACAAAAATTACAACAGTCACTGTGATATGAATGATTCTTTTTCGAGAATAATAGTCTACAAATATTTCATATGAAACATCTAAACAAAAACATCATGTAAAACTTCGCTGAAGTATTAATATAGATGTCATTTATGCATATTTTTTATATTAAAATTTATCTTCTATACTTCTGTTTTCCAAAGAATTTTAATAAGTTTCCTGAAAATTTAATTCATAGTTTTTTATCTGAATTTTCTACAAAGAAGATGTTTCATTGGTTTTTCGAATAAGTATATTTATTTGGACAATCTTTACAACGGCTATATTTTCTTCTTCTCTCTTCTGATTTTAAGATGCACAATTTTATTTTCAATCGATATATACTGAGTTGCAATTCTAGACAATAATTAAACTAAAAAAATTATTTAATTGTGATAACTTAAGAAGAAATAAATTTTAGTCCATATAATAATAAGAAAAAAACTGAGTAAGATTAAAATAGTTAAAAATTAGTATCGACTATCTCTCAAATAATTTTAAGTTTGCAACTGTTTCTGTTTCTTGTAGAATTCGCCTTATATCAAAATAAAACGCTAAACGCAACTGAACTCATAAAAAGCCCACATTCTAACGCGTAATAATATCTAACGCCGTAAACACGTGTCGATATATTTGACGAAAATAATATCGTAATATTGTATGCTTTTACTAGTTATTACGCGTTAAAATTTATAACGGCTAACAATTCGTTCAAAACTTTAGAGCGTTCTTTTATTGATTTTTACTGACTGGGTGGAGGAAGAAATTTTTTCGTATCTAAAATTTCGAGATCTAGGTCCGTCGTTCTTTCAGAATAGGATATAATGTTTCTAAAGAACAAGTTAGATTTCAAAACTTCAGATGCAAGGAACATTTTTTTCTGCCATTGCATACTTATTTTGGCGATATCCCGTCTAACTCTAGCCATTTCGTTGGTCACTTCGATAACTAATATTTTTTTTCTTTCCTGTTCTCTCCTGTGTGTAAACTAAAACGGTGTGATGGGAAAAGGTCGAAAAGAAAAATGTCGAAGAGAAAAGGTAATCGATCATTACAGATCAATATAATTCGACGATTGAATGATTGAAACATGCCCAGTCTGATTTGCTCGAATCGTCAGATGTGTTACTTTGTTTAACTGATGTTGTCATGTAAATTCAAGCACTGTTGACAAATATCCATCATCATTGATTGATTTAGTTGTCTTTGATTTCTCTCGAGTAGCCATATCATATTAATAGGATTTCGATAAAAAATCATCAATAATTGAGGATGTAATGGTAGAATTTTTGTTATTTCAAATATGAAAAATTTATCCTCTAATACTATTTCAATTTTCAAGTCTTAAAAACAAAAAAAGATGAGACAATGTCGATTATAAATAGTTATGATTATTTGTAAACTAATTTCTGTTTAAATACTCTAGAATTTGCAAGAAATATACTTGTTCAATTATTAAAATCTGTTATAAGTTCATAGTGATTATTTCTTATTCATATTTTATTCGACATTTCTACATTTTTCTTTTCGATACTTCTCTCCGTTATTTCTCGTTTCGATATTTTTCCTGTCGATCTTTGTTCAGTCATTCGTCTATTATATCGAACAAAGGTCGACTACAAGGAGAAAAAATTATAGAATCTAATATTTTTCTCCTCGACGAGAGAACGTATATATATATAAGTGCATTGTAAACAAGTTCAATTCAAAGATATCTACTTTCATTTATACCATATTCTCCTCTCTTACTGCATATCTACGTACATTAAACATGCATCGATTTTTGATCCTTGTTCTACTCGTTTCCTTGGTTGGCTTTGCCCTGTTCAACATCGGTGTTAGTGGCTGTCTTGACTTTGGACACGCCGGTTGTGATTTAAGTTCATTATCGAATCTTTACAGATGTTGCAAAGGTAGTCGTTGCACTGAAGTTGGACATGAACATAAGTGTCTATAGTGAACATAGACACGTCGACAAACAAACAAAAAAAGACTACACTAAACTTCTTTATTTGTTGTTAATTCATTCTTCTTCTACATAATAATTAAAAAATAAGTTCTTAATCTGAAAAATTCTGCTTCTGTTCACATCCATCGCAGACTATTTATGTAAAACATGCCTAGTTCTATTTGGTTTATATATTCTATAATCGGAAGCACATTTTTCTCTCAATTCAATTATTCAGTTGTTTATAAGAATATTGAGCCTTCGATAATAACAGTAGATCTGTTTTTAAATATTTATTTTTTTGTTCCTATAAACTAAAGTAGACAATATTTGATAAGATGAAAAAAGAACAATAACGCTAGTAATATGAAATAAGTTAAAATCATGTAGGGAAGAGAAAGCGAGTGATAGTAAGAAAGAGACATTTAAGAAAAACTGATTAAGTATGTGTCTTACTTGATAGATCCTAAATATTATTTAATACAGCTATTGATAAAATAAGCAGCTGTATACCATAATATTTTCTTTATAGACATTTGCGAATAAAAAGAAGTGTGTTAAAAGAAAGTGAAGAACGAAAACAAAACTCTTTTCTTCTAAATAGAATATAAAAACAGAGCAAAATAAATACTACAGCATCATATATAAATAACAGAATAGGAAAATAATTTCTTCCAGCATAAAATGATACGTGTTATATTATACACGAGGAAAAAAGAAACAAAAACTTTGAAGTAATTATAATGAACAAAGAGTTGAATATATCGGTTGCGAATAATATATTTTGAAAACTTGTCTTAATACTATGTTCTATAAGAAATCATTAAAAATTATACTCTAATCATAAATTAATTACCAAAATGTAAATAAAATACAATCATATATCTTTCATCATATTTGAAAAAATCACATCAAACAATATTCATCCAAATAAAGTTCTTATTTTTTTTATTCATGAGTAAATTCACAATCATATTGAATTTAAAATCTAATTACAAATTAATATCGTAGAGAATATGTGCAAATAAAATGATGATATATTTCTATAGTGAAGAAACTCACTATCATTTCAATCTAATGTCTATTAAGGCTTCAAACGTTATGATATCAATTTCAGAAAGATGAAATTTTGTTTTAAAAAAATGATTGATCATAAATAGAACAAGAATATGGTGTATTATTGAATTACTTGAAATCATGTTTGTTATAAAACAAATGTTCAGTCAGATAATAAATATCTTTGATTCGTCAATTTTAAATTAGAATTTTTTTACTATAAACGAAGAGAGATTTTTACATACATGATTAATCCAAAAAAAGATTGATTTGTATAAATTAATCTATAAATTCCGTATGCTTCAAGTTACATAATCTTGATGAAGTAGTTTATTTTGAGGGTATAGATACTATGTTGATTGCTCATACTCACAACATTCACACGCGCACCCTCACCGGAACAATAATATTTCATTTATTCATTTAAAAATATTTAATACGATATACTTTTGGTAATATATTTAAGAAATTCGTTATTTTAAATATTCATGAGTTATAACCAATCTAGAATTGCATTTATTTAACATGAATGATAGTACAAATTTCAGTTTTTGTTGAATAAATATATTCTTAACTCGATATTATAAAGGAAGTTGAGCCAATTGTTTATGTAACATATTAATTTGTAAATACAATTATATAGTATCTAGTCTTATAGAAAATATCAATGGTATTATGTAACTATTTGGAAATGAATGATAATCTAAAAATAAAATTGTAGACCTAGATTGATGATTTTGACTTCTCATACCTATTTAATTTATTCATTTGTTTTTTTACCGTTAATAAAACGCTAACTAAAAGCAATAGACAATTTATTGTTTCTTTTTTTGTTGTTTATACTAATCATTGAATTTACTGTCCTGGACTCTTTAATAAAATATAATTACTCCTACGCGACAGGTAAGAAGAAAATAACAACTATATTTAGATCTATGAAAAAAAATATCCTAAATTTTTGCCTTTAACACATATCGCCTACATTTATTGACAATACGAAAGATAGTTGTTAGAATAGATAAAGGATGCAAAATCAGTGAAGCAAAGGATATTCGATCAATCTTCTCAGTGATACATACAAACCCGTTATAAGCTTCACGTTTCATATTAATTTATATTTGAAAAGAATAAGAAGAATATGAGTGATAAAAAGCCATTATTAAAGACGCATAACCCATTATCTATTGACACTGATAGCGACAACGAAAACAAAAGGTATGATAGAAACAATCTATAATATTGATAAACACATAACAAACTTATCATTAATTGTAGTTTTTCCAACTGGCGTCAATATTTCAATCAACAAAAGACGAATGCTAGGAAGAAAAAGTTAAATGATGAGATCAAACATACTACTAAAGATATTCCAGTCAGTTTTTTACAATTGGTAAGTATATTAAAATATAGAATATCATAAGAAAAAGTAATAAAAGTACAAAGTTCAAAGCATGCTGTTTTTCTCTTTAATAATAGTTTCGATTTGCTGATCGTATTGATCTTCTTCTTATAACTATTGCTCTGTGTCTCATATTGGGGCATGCAGCATGTCTTCTCGCAAAAGTAATTCTTTTTGGTCAAATCACGGGATTATTTGCCACTACATCATTCTCCGTTGATTGTGATAATCAATATCAAAATTTAGCATCTACAATTATCAATAATACTGTATGTCCCCTTGGTATTGATCTTAATCCATTAAACTATGATCGATTACAGAAGTAATTTACTGAAAAAAATATATATTTTTAAATTTTCCATTCATAGACTATGCCATTATCATAATAAAACTGTTTCATCGTCATTATCTCCACTGACGCCTTTATTTCGACAAAATGTTATGCATCTAGTTTATTTGTTCTTCGGTAAGTCTATTGTATATGACGATTTAAATTAAAAAAAACAAACGAATGGTTGTTTCTGTGTGTTAATGTAGGTTTTAGTATTCTTATGTTTCTATGTGCTTCTCTTGAATATATCTGTTGGACAATAGCTACGAAACGACAAACATCTCGCATGAGTGTTTTACTCTTTCAATCACTTATACAACGTGTAAGTAAAAATATTTTTTTACACCCATAAAATACTTTATAATTCGTGATCATAATGATAATGACAGTGATAATGATAATCTCATCATTTTTAATACATTTATGCACTTGTTAAATTATGATTTAAGATAAAATAATCTGTTATTTCTCTTTCATTCTTTTTAGAACATGACTTACTTGGATACAAACCAAACTACTCAATACAATTCAAAGCTTTTTACGTAAGTAAATATAATAAATTTCTAGCAAACACTTATATGTATATGATCGATTTTCTTTATAGTAATATTGAAAAGATCAAAAATGGGATAGGTTTTGAATTCTTACTAGTACTTGGACTTATTCAAATGATGATTTTCAGTATAATTATATCTTTTATTCTCAACTGGCAATTATCTTTAATTATGTCTTGTATAATCCCGATTGTTGTTGTTAGTTCATTGATGTTTGCTAAGGTATAAATTATTATTTAATTCACTAAAATTTTTATCAACAATTACAGCTCATCACAAAAGAAACAGAAGAACAATTAAGTACATATTCAAATGCTGGACAAATTGCTCAAGAAGTATTTAGTTCATTGAGAACTGTTCTTTCATTCAATGGAAGCAAATGGCAACAAAAACAGTAAATAAATAAATAAACAAAGATTTATAGATTATTGTATTATTTATCTTTATCTAGATATGAAAAAGAATTAAAATTGAATGAATGGTGTACTGTTCGCAAGAATGCTGCATTTGGTGCTTATAATGGTTGGTTATTTTTTATATCCTTTCTAGTTTATTCAATTGGTTTTACTTTTGGTTCCATTCTTATGTCTTATGGAAACCATCGTACACTGACCATTAGTGAGATTCTTATTGTAAGTGACCTATAGCGTCAGTATACAAGAAAGTAACTGAAAAATGAACTTTCGTTTAGGTCGTAAATATGTTTGCACAAGCTTTAGATCTTCTTAATTCAACTGGTCCCTTCTTTCAATCAATTGCGGAAGCTCAAGGTGCAGCAGTATCCGTATTTCGACTTATTGATGAGGTAAAATCGATTGAATACTAGATACTAAACCATGGTAATTATATTTTCTATTTTATTTCTTGTGATATAGGTCCATGATGAACATATCAATGAAAAAGAAATATTGCAAGAGAAAACATCTGATAAAAAATTGATTTCTGCTATCAATGGTGACATTGAATTTGACAATGTTAATTTTTCTTATCCATCTAGAGAAAATGTGACAGCTTTGAATAATCTTAAATTGATTGCTCGTGCTAATCAAACAACTGCTCTTGTAGGTTCAAGTGGTTGCGGTAAATCGTTTTTGAAACAAATATAAAATTTTAATATTGAAATTTATTGTGATAGGAAAAAGTACATGTGTATCACTTCTTCTTCGCTACTATGAACCTTCGTCAGGCACAATTATGATTGATGGTCAATCAATTACAGATTATAAAATCAAACAGTTTCGTCAAAATATTGGAGTTGTTAGTCAAGAACCTGTAATTTCTTTTATTTTTGTTTTAGTCTCTGTCGAATTTTTATATTAAAATAGATTCTATTTGGAATAAGTATTTATGAAAATATTCGTTTTGGTAAATTGAATGCAACACGTGCAGAGATTGAAAATGCTGCAGAACAAGCTAATGCACATAAATTCATTATGAAACTACCAAATGTTGGTTTTGAAATATTTATATGTATATATTAATATTTTTGTTTGTAGAAATATGACACACTTGTTGGTGAACGTGGTATACAATTGAGTGGTGGTGAAAAACAACGTATTGCATTAGCTCGTGCACTTGTCAAACAACCCAGTATTCTTTTGTTAGATGAAGCAACAAGTGCACTTGATAATGTTAGTGAAAAAATTGTTCAAGAAGCACTTGATCGAGCATGCGAAAGTAAGAAGTATTTAATTATTATTGATTATATTATTATCATTATTATATATATAGATCGTACAACTATAGTTATCGCTCATCGTTTGACTACGATTCAAAATGCTGATTATATATATGTATTAGATCAAGGAGGTGTGGTTGAAGAAGGTACACATGAAACATTATTGGCAAAAGAAGGAGGTAAATATCAAACAATGGTCAAAATGCAGCAAGCTGAAAAAACGATTAATACTCAAGATGGCTTAATGAATATGACAAAAGCAACAGCTGAAGATGAACAACAAATATGTATGTTATTACTATTAGATTTTATAGACTTCATTCTGCTTTATTTTTTGAAATAGTGGAACGTGTTCGTCTATTGAATGAGAGCGAAGCAACTGATATCAATCAAGTAATAATAAATATCTAATAACTTTGAAAAATCATTATTAACGTATAAACTTTAGAGAGCTTCGATCTCAACAAGAAAAAAATCTGTCTTTGTCAGACTCTTGAAGATGAATAGTCCTGAATGGATGTTTATCTTAATTGGTTGTTTAGCATGTATACTTGGTGGACTACGTGGACCATTGTTCTCGATTCTATTCGCAAAAATAGTCAATGTGAGTAATTTTACTCATATGAATATTATCACAAAAAATAAAAGATGTGTCTTTTTCTTTTATTTAGGAATTCAATGATTGTAAATACACTGATGTACGTCGGCGAGTGTTGATTACATGTGGTTTATTCATTCTTACTGGCGCTGTTTTTATGATTCTTTATTTTTTTCATGTAACAATTTTATTACTAAACTATATATCAATGAGTTTTTTTATGTTCGTTTATAGTTTGTGACTTTTGGGATCGTAGGAGCGAAATTAGTTAGTCGTCTTCGTTCAAAAGCTTTCGCATGTTTTCTTCGTCAAGAAGTAGCTTATTTTGATCGACCTGAAAACAGTTCCGGTGCTATATGTACTCACCTCGCGTCTAATGCAGCTGCTATTCAAGACATGGTTGGTACAAGATTAGGTGTTGTTTGTCAAGCTTTATCCATGTGTATTTTTGGCTTCACACTTGGCTTTTTTTACAACTGGCAATTAACAATAATCATAGCGATTCCTTTCATTATTCTACTGATCGTCAGTATTATTCAAATACGGTTGAGTTCATGGTTAAAAACACAATCTAATCTCATTTACTTTCAAGCTAGCACGGTAAAACCATCTTGTTATTATAGATGATTTGATCAAATGATTATTAAATATTCATTTTATATTTTGTCTTCTTTAGCTTACTGTTGAAGTTATTACTAATATGCGCACAGTAAAACAATTATCAATGGAAAATGAAGTTTTACGACAATATTCGAATATGATTGATGAAGTATTAATGTTAGTCTTGTGAATATTATGCATGTATATATATATATTTGATAACAAAACTACGAGTGCTTTTAATAATCTTGATTAATTTTGTCAAAAATATGTTCTTCTATATCGAAAGATATTGACTTCAATTTTCAATAAGTTTTCTTTTGTATAGAATGTTTTGGAAACCTGAGGTACTATTTGCAATAATATATGGATTGAACTGGATGATCGAACTGTTGACTTTGGGACTTTTGTATTGGCGTGCTTTGATTCTTCTTGAAACCAATGAAATAGACATGAGCGATGTTGTTATGTAACTAAAACAATAACTTTGATAATCAATAAATTAAGTTTTATTATTTTTATAGGATTTCTGCTTTTGGAATGTTTGCATTAAAATCACTAAATCTTGTTGGAATGTTGTAAGATACAGAATTTTTTGTTTTTTTGGTTTTGTTATTTTCTTTTTAGAGCACAACGTATTGGTACATCGTTTGCTGCTGCTCACGCTTTTTTTGATCTATTTGATCGAATACCAACTATTGATAATGAATCTAATAAAGGACACGAATTAGTAAAAGAAAAAAAAGAAAAACTATTGTTTATTTTAAACTTGAATTATTTAGACTAACTTTAGTGGACAAACAGAATTTAATCAAGTTAAATTTGTTTATCCAAGTCGTCCAACAGCTCTTGTTCTTAATAAACTTCAATTATCTATTAAATCAGGTCAACGTATAGCTCTTGTTGGTATGTTTTAATAAATAATGTTTTCTAGTTTATTAATCATATAATATAATCGATTTAGGTGCATCGGGATGTGGAAAATCAACCATAGTTCAATTATTAGAACGATTTTATGATGTCACACACGGACAATTGGTAAGTATCTCTTTTCTATATATATAATTCAAGTATTTATATAAAAGATATTGATATAAACTAGCTTCTTGATGGTGTTGACATTCGGCAATTAAATATTCAATGGCTTCGTTCTCGTTTGGGTGTTGTTAGTCAAGAACCAGTTTTATTTGATTTAACAATTGCCGAAAATATAACATATGGATTAGAAAATATACCGATGGATGAGATTATTCTTGCTGCCAGGAAAGCTAATATTCATAAATTTATCCAACAATTACCTGAAGTTAGATAAATATTAAATTATATTGATTATTTAATATATATTGTTGTAGGGTTATGATACAAAAGTTGGAGTAAAAGGTAGTTTCTTATCAGGTGGTGAAAAACAACGTATTGCTATTGCTCGAGTTCTTATTCGTCGACCTAAAATATTGTTATTAGATGAAGCTACAAGTGCTATGGATCCATACAATGAATATGTAAGTTTATATTCTTTTCTATATATGGTTAAAATTTAAAACTTAACATTTCTAATTGAAGATAGTACAAGCAACTCTTGAACAAGCTCAAACAGAAGATCCTAGTCGAACATCACTTATTATTGCACATCGTCTTTCAACCATACGTTCATGTGATTTAATACATGTACTTGAAATGGGTCGTATAGTCGAAAGTGGTACTCATACAGAACTAATACAGAAAGGTGGAATTTATTATAAAATGTTAAATGCTCAAAACAATGTACAATAATTATTATTCAACTACTTCATTAACAAAAAAATAAATACTTTTACATATATAACCATACAAGTATTTTTTTTGTAATATATATGAAATTAACTTTGAATTCATTTATATGTAACTTTATAGAGAAATTGATTACATTTAAACCATTGATTAGTCTTTTATTATTATCTTGCTATAAAAAAAAATAATACATATACTTCACATAATCTCTTTGATCTGAACTGTGCTGTATCCTTATTTTGAGTCAAAATATTTGTCATTATATCAGATTTGTTAGAAGAATATTGATCATTATTATTAACAATAGGATTTTTAGACATGGGAAAAAGTTTAAAAAATATAACACAAATTGTTTGGAATGATTGAGAAATGTATATTAATGTTGCTAAATATAGTTCATCAGATAATTATACAAATGTTTTTCATACTAAATGTTAACTAATCCAATAAATCATTTATATTTGTTTTTCTGTCTACCTTTAACTTCGCGCATTAAAAATATCTGTCAATCCTACAGTACTAATCATTTAGCGATCAATTTGCATTAGTAATGCACAGCTATAAATCTAAAATACACCTATGTTGATGTAGAAAAATAACAATGACTTCATATTTTGTATTCTACTAGCCTCAGATTGTCAATTTTTCTAAAATATAGAATTATAGGTATTACTTCTATTCAAAAATTTAGTTTTATTAACATCTTGAGGTTTGTGGTACTCGATTACATTGGATCTGAATAATATTTCTTGTCACTGGATTATTTCTGTCGTTCAAAAGAACGCTACTATGCATAATTTCTAATGGAATAATTTCTTGAAAAATTTAATGAATTCAAGAGCAAAAGAAGAAAAGTAGTGTAAATTATGTTTTTGTTGAATCATATAACGATCGAGCATCTTCACCAAAATAGGGTCCATGCATTGTATTTGTTTGTCCGCTAAGTAGAAACGAGTTAATCGATGTAACATAACCCGTACCACTTTGTATATTGAATACCTGCAGCCATGGTCCACCACTACTTCCACCCGTCATATCACAATACAACTGTTGACCATGATATCCACTACCTGCCTGGTGCCCACCACTAAGTGCATGACAATATTGCATCACTTCACCTCCGTCTAAATTCAATGGATAACGGAATGAAAATATAAGTTCATTACGACCGAAATTGAACCCAATGCCTTGGGCACCAACAACATCTTGAACATGCCGACCGTTGACCTATGTATTAAAACAAAAAATAACAAATGCATATCGATCATTTATTTATTCTCGAAGATTAAACATAGAAGAAAACTGTTTTATTGATTCACTCAAGTTTGTTCAGAAAAAAAACTACGATAGAGAGATCACGTCTTTTTATTATTCTGACATATGTTTCAATCAAAATATGCTACATCTTCGAATTCAGTATATGAAAGATCCCTGACTGCAAATATTCGTCTTTATCTTCATATTACATCGATTGTTTTATTTTTATTTTTTTTATTCTGACTAACCTGAAATACTAATACGTAACCAATATCGTAATTCCAATCGTTTGAGTTTGTCCATCCATTGAATGTTGTCATCGATCGAACGGGAAATGTGCCATAAGGCCGTTGACCATGTATATAGCCAGGCACAAACACCCAATTATGATTAACCAAAAAACCGCCTTGACTTGGATCAAAGATGCAATGCGCAGCAGTAACTAACAGATCTCTGTTATCCGAAACAATAACACTAGCCGAACACATCCCATAATGATTGTTACCTAAATTCCAAAAAACTTTACCAGTAGTTGGACGACCATATCCACCAGCTGGTGCTTTCAAGTTCCAGTCAGAAGCACCAAGAACTGGATTGACAGCAAAAGCAGGAGTATTCTTATCAAAATGGGAGTCATCCAATTTTTGACGTCTAATCTCGCTGTTGTTAAACATGTTCGGATACAGTTCCCATGGTGATTTAGCTTGATGAAATTTTTCTTCTGTCCAAAAATCGATTACTGATTGAACGTATTCATCCGTAGTCATATGTTTTGGTTGAATAACATGAGCACTAGCATATTTTCCTTGGGCATCTGTAACCGGTAGCGCCTGACATGAAGCAACAAGAAGAACAAAACTAAGAATAAGTAGGACCATTGTACTGCTCTCTGTGAACAGTGTAATCTACTGGCTAGATGTCTTTATAACTGGCTTTTATAGTTTCTAATATATCATAAAGTCTTTTAATTGCGTACTTTTATCTTTTCTTAATAATTTACGATCATGTATGAGTTAACAACTATTTGCCTCGTTGTTTCTTCTATTTTTAATAATCGTAAATGTACTATTGCGTTGTATTAAAAAACAGTGAAAAAATCTCGAATTCTTTCCAAGAACAATTTTTATAGAAAAATGGACTCAGATATGAGATACACTCATGGACAAAAGTCTTTCCTCCTTCTTTATTTCTATGCTATCATACTTCGTATAAAATTTATTGCCGAGTACAGGTATGACTTAAGAGTTTTATTGTATTTTGATCTGCATACGGTACTGAAATAAAACTCTCAAGTCATATGTCTACTCGGCAATAAATTTTATACAAAGTATGATAGCAAAGAAGCGAAGAGGAGAAAGACTTTCGTGCGAGGGTGTCGTTTCGGAGAGCATATGTGAGATATCCAACAAAAACTATCTTTTTAAAGTGAATCTCACAACAAATAATTAAATAACCTGTGTTTTGTCCTCTTTTTTTACCAACTCGATCACAAAATTTATGCGGTGCCTTAGTTCTTGAGGGTATTGGTGAGACAGTCTTTCATCTTCTCCCACACCCACACCCAAACATATTTAATAATTAATAGAGAAATTAATTTTTTATCAATGCATAAGATGCATCAGCTATTGTTGAGCCTATATCTCGATGGATATACAAATTCAAACAACTATTTTGTCAAAAATGTAATCGACAGTAATCCATATTAATAAAATCTAAAGATACGCAAAGATTTTCATCATCAGTGTATTTTGTGTTATATCAAACAACAAATGAATCTCATTGCTTTCGTTTCTATTCTCTGCATGTTTTCGCTTTGTATTAGCAGACTATTAAAAAATTGATAGATTCGTCCGCAATTCAGTCCGACATATAATAAACAAATAGCAAAACAGTTGTTCTCCCGATGTTAGCGAACGAAATATGTTCGCCTGATTGGCATTTATAAATATATGGTATATAATTGAAGAGTAAAAGAAGAAAAGTCAGTCAGTCAATATTTCTTAGCTATGAATTGTAGAACAATTCATTTGCTTGATTTACCCGATGAAATATTACTTATTTTATTGAAAAAACTTGGTTCTGTTGATGCTCTTTATTCATTATTGAATGTTAATAAACGACTTGATCAAATGGCAAGAAGTATTGATAATACTAATTCCTTAAATTTTTCCAATATATTATCAAATGATCAATTTTCATCAATAAATAATGTTCAACTTGATGGATTTTGTGATGAAATATTACCTCAAATACACCATAACATTGCTGCACTTACTCTTGATATATTTTCTATGAAACGTATTCTTCTTGCTTGTAAATATCCTAATCTGACTGTTATTGTTTTAACTAATTTTCTTCCAGATATTCTTTTACAGCGTTTAAGAGGTAAATTAAACTTTTTATTTATAATTCTGAATATCTATTTAATTATATGATTAGATAGATCATCGATTGCTCTCTTATTTTATCAACAGATCAGACATCTAACTGTCAAGAGTGAAAAAGAAATGTTTACTAGTCAATCATTTACAGCTGTTTGTTTATATATACTTATTTTCTGTAAAAATTTATCATATTTAAACATGAATCAATGGTTAATAACTACACATTCATACTTTTCAATTCGTAATCGATCTATAGATATATCTTCTTCAAATTTACACACTTTACTCATTAATGTGGTTACTTTTGATGGTTGTCTTTGGCTACTTGATGGTCGTCTAGAACAATTACGTTCTTTCACAGTACGTGTTCTTAAGATTAGAAGATCAGAAATGAACAATGATAGTCAAGTAAGAAGAATATTAATGAAAAATTAAAATTATTTTCTTTGAATATAATTAATCTATTGTTCTTTTTAATTTAATAGAAAATTTTATCTAATCTCAAAGAATTCTCATTAACTAGTTGTTTCTACACAAATGCTTATGATTGTCGAATATTACCACTTCTTCGTCGAATGCCAAATTTAGAAACTCTCACTCTATGTCTCGATATAATACGATTAACTGTTATTGATGGTTTACATCTTAATGAAGAACTTCTTATTCATATAATGAATTTAAATAAGTTTATATTCCGTATCTGTACTGTTTTAAGACCTTTTGAATCGAATTATTTATTAACAATGAATGATATTAAAAACACATTTATTAATTGGAAATATTCTTCAGTTAACTGTTGTATCGATCACTTTTCAGATGGATATACTTATTGTCATATTTATTCGACACCATTTCGAATGACTCACTTTATGAATCTTTCCAATAGTTTTTGTGGTCATCATTTCTTATATGCTACTAGTGTAGTGTTATATGATACACGCTCATTTGAACATGATTATTTTGAATGGCTATCTCAAGCATGTCCATCACTCAAAGAATTAGTCATTAACAATTCCAAACCACAGAAGAATAAATGTCAAATTGCAATAACTAATGATAAACAAATTGTTTCAAAAATTTCATTTTTAAATTTATGGAAACTTAGTTTTATTTATGCACATATTGATTATGTTGATCAATTTTTATGTTATGCAAATACGTATTTACCAACTCTTCACACACTTTCAATACAATATGATAAATTAGTTACTATCTCGAATAATTTTACAAAAGATGTAAAACAAATTAATTGTAGTCAAATCAAAAAAATCGTATTTGGTCAATTGCTTGTCTTACCGAAAGACTTGTATGATTATTTTCCTTGTTTATAAAAAAATTAATTTTTCAAAAAATAGATTAATTCAATATTTGTAATATATTAACAATATGAATATACTAGTAGAAGATCTTTTCAAGTATTAAAAAGCTTATTCTGTTGGAAATATATTAGTTTGATAGAATATCACCTACGTAAAGGTGTGGGTATGTGTAGTAATTGTGAGTGTGGTTGGTGTAGGATGTAGAGTGTTGGCGTTGGTGTGAGAGGTGGTATAGAATTAAGTTGAGTATAACACCCACTTTCATACCAACACTCATATCCACACTCTACACCACCCCACCCTCATAGATGATCACATCATACTTTTTACAAAAAACGACATAGTCGAATATATCATGAGGCTGACAAGAGGCCTGATAAATATATTTTTCAATCAGTATAAGTTATAACGATTGTTTTGTTTAGAGCAGAAGAAAAGAATGAAACGATAAAATACGCTTTATCTCAAGCAAATAGAAGATTTTTTTTCGTTTATCCATCTCAAATAAATATTTTGTGTTGGTTTAAGAAAATATATTTGTTTCATTCTCCGAAAAACATGTCTGAGAGTCTACAAGTATCTGATTGTGAAAACCATTGGCAAGAAAAGGAAATTATCCTTGAAAGAGTGAGTTTGAAGTGAAGAAACCTACGTATTATTGTTCTCTATTTTTACTCTTACAGTCTAATGTTAACGACATTATTTCACTTGGCTTTACGATTGCTGGCGGTAATGATCGGCCTATCGTGAATAACTTCATATCTATTGTTGTAAGTCGTATAATTGAAAATGGTCTAGCAGATAGAGATAAACAGTTGAGGTGAGTGAATGTTTGGATGTCAGAGAACGATGATAGGTTTCTTTTCCTAGATTATACGATATACTCTTACGTGTAAACGATATTGATTATTCAAATATTAAACATCATACAGCTGTTGAGATATTGAAAACTTCGGGAAAGAAAGTTTCCTTAGTACGTATTACTTTAAATATTTTTATTTTTGTTTATAATATCTTCTTTTTGCTTATAACATACAGCGAATTCGTCGTCTCACATTTCGATTTATGAAGATTATTGAATTAGAGCATCAAAATGGAAAATTAGGAATCTCAATAGAAGGTGGTATTGGGAGTGAATATTTCAAAGGGTTTGTTAACAATTTCTTATATCTTCAATTTATGAATATCTTTCAGAGATCATGGTGTGTTTATTACGTATATTCCCAATCAAACTATTAAACAGTTAAATATTGGTGATCGATTAATAGAAATCTCATCTGCAGTGAGATTTGTAATAAGTCTTTTGCTTCTATAGTACGTTTTCTTTGGACAACTTTTAGAAAAATACGTACGATCTACGATTTGTTACACATAATGAAGCTAAAAAACGTATTGGTTTAGCATGTTCAGACAGTCAGAAAGTAAAATTGACTGTTAGTAGTTATACGAGAAAACTGACAAGGTAAATTGATCAGAAAAAGCTAAATATGTGCATTTTACGAGCAATCTTTTTAGAGTCACTCACAAACAAAACATTCTGTGTCCAGATCAATATAGTCCTCGAACTATAACAGACAAAAGTAAGCATTGACAGTTTTGATTTATTTTCCTCGAGTATTTAATTACATCTGGTAGATACTAAAGATCAACATGATCAACGTAGGTACAGAAATGAAGAAAGTAATAATATGTGCTGTTAAAGTAAATAATAACGTAATCTCTTATTTGTTTTTGTCTACAAAGCCTCTCTTCCAAGCAACGAAAATGGCTATAGAAGTATTACTGATATAAAATATCATAGCAAAAATTCTGAACCAACCAGATCAATACTATCACCACGCAAAATAATAGAATCATTTGATTTCGAAGGTAAGCCATAAAATTTGAATTTGAAACTAAATATAAAGCTTCTATCGTGTACTATCTAAGATTATCAGCGATATGAAAGCCATAATAGATTACGTGCGACTGGCTATCGTACGAAGAGCACAATATTACCGAATACCCGTCCTACCGCCGACTTGCAAATTCATCTTGCAGTAGCTCAAAAGATCGGTGTATTGCAGTTTGATCAAAAGAATCTAAAAGAAGTAATTCTTACATAGATTTCGTTTTATATTCTTCTTTATTAATAGATTTCACCTGAAATTTGTTCACTATCTGGCTTACGTACTCTGTCTTTAAATGGTAACAAGATCCAGTTGCTCCCTAATGATTTAAGAAAATTAGTCAATTTGAAGAATCTCTTTTTGAAATATAATCAAATCAGTAAACTACATTTTGTCATGTCATATATTTTTACAAAATATCTATTTAGAATCTCTACCTTCAATCGTTTTTACTCACCATTTGTCAAAATTAGAGATTCTTCAATTGAATGGCAATCTTCTATGTTCTCTACCTGCATCATTTTCCTATTTAACAACATTGAAACAACTGAATCTTTCAAAAAATAATTTTCTCACAGTTCCTCGAGCAATTTTATATTTAACTAATCTACAAGTTCTCGATCTCTCAGCTAATCGTATCCAAGAAATTAACGATGATATCGAATTTTTAGAAGTTGATGAGTTAAATTTAAATAATAATCAAGTAAATGTGTTGTTACAGTAATTATATAACTATTTCTTTACTTTTTTTCTTTTTCTAGATTTCTCAAATTTCAACAAATATATCAAAATGTAAACGGTTGAAAATTCTTCGATTAGATAATAATATGCTTAAGATAGAATCAATTCCTACTTCATTATTAAAAAACTCTACTGTTTTTCTACTGAGTGTTAACGGTAATTTTTTTGAAGAAACACAATTTCAATTGATCGAAGGTTATGATGATTATGAAAGACGGTATACGGCAAATCAACGAAAACGAGATGCAACTGCGATACTTCTGTTGAATTAACAGCTAACTTTCAAAAGAAAACAATTTTTTATGACAATATTCTCATTTGAGATTATAAGAGATAATTATCTTACTTATTATTCTTTTATAAATAGAAAACAGGGTGTGTGTGTGCGGCTCCATTTCGATATTCACACTCATACTGTTACGTACATTCAGCTCACACCTACATCCTCAAGATATGATCGAATTTGTCTCATTATTATTAGTATTTCACGCTGCATTCCTAAAGTGTGAATGAGTTTCGACTCTCGTTCAAAGATTCTCATTAGGTGACTCGGAATATCTGCATCAATATTTCAAAGTGTTCAATTGGGTACCGAATAAATTCTGTTCAATTAAATCCAACATTTAGTTTTTCAATTGACAAAATGAAATATGTGATCTGAAGAAAAATATTTTCTTTACTTAATCATAATGAAAAAATAAACTTGCTCGATCCATTTTATAGTCGTTAGGGAGAGAAAGTGGAAGAGAATATTCACTTCATAATGAAAGATATCAATGATTTCATAGGAATTTCAAGAGAGAAAAAGTCTTGTACTATTGATAGACTTTCCTGAAAAAAATACTTTTTTTAAGTTACTAATCAATCAGGAAAATATTTTCTTTACGGGAAATAATTAGAAGAAATTTACTTAATCTTTGGTTTTTTGTCACTGATGACGACAGTCGAGGGAAAATATAATTTGAAATGTTTTTGTTTTTGCTTATACTTAAAGTGCAAATTGAAATGCGACGTTGTTTTTCACCGGTTGAACTGAGGTTGTTTTATGTGTTTACATAAATTAAATTCATTTTTTTTAAATTTTATGGAAAGTTCAACAGTTTAGTTAGAGAAGAGAAGATGCCAGTTTGTCAAGGTATTGGTAATTTATTAAATCGTATGAAGAAATCAATCGTTGAATTGAATATTTTTCATTCGAACACATCTTCGGTTATAGATGATAATGAGATTAGAACAGAATTAATATCTACACGTATTTTTCTTTTGTTTCTTGTTGTTTCTCTTGGGATTCTAGCAGGATATATATCTGAAATTCAGGTAGAAAAAACAGTTGAAATATCGTATCCAAATTATGATCAATATTTGAAATTGTATAAACAATATTCAACAATTATTTCTTGTCCATGTACAACAGTTTCATTTCCATATGAACAATTTTTAAATGTAAAAGTAACTTATCATCAAATCTGTCAAAGTATTTATACAACACAATTTTGGATAAATTTAATAAAATCTTCATCGATTATTAAACAACCTTCACCGACTTTTCGTTATCTTGGTGGACCATTATTTCAA